GGGCGGCCGGCTGCTGCGGGGGCCAAGGGCGCGCGGGTGACCTCGGGGCGGTCCCCGCTCCCTCTCCGGGGACTCCCCCCTCCCCGTCCCCTTCCCAGATCCTTGGCTGTCCGCGCGGAAGATATGCGCCCCCCCCCCCGGCTCAGGCTTCTCGGGGTCGATGGATTTGTACACGGTGACTTTGTGACTCCCGCCCTGCCTTCGGCTCCCAGGTCCGCTCCAGAGCCCACTGGGGCCCAGGCTCCGCCATTTCGTTTTCTTGAATCGCTCTCATTTGCATACCACATTTTCATTCATAAAAAACACTGCAGTGCGAGGGGAGGACTGGCGCGGGCGGCGCGGGGGTCTGTGGAGCCGGGGTCTGCACGCGGGCCGGTGCATCGGAGCCGCCCCAGGGCTGTTTGGTGGTGGGTGGGGGTGGGGGGGGTCCCGGAGCGTGCGGAGTGCGTGCATGCGCTTGTGGGCCGGGTCTACGCGCCCCGCGGGGTCTGGGCCCCTCGGGGATGGGGGTGGGGGGCGGATCCGAAGCGTGTGCCGCGGGGGCGTGCGGGGCAGCGAGCGGGGAGGGAGCGCGCGCGCTTGTGGAAGTGTGTGTGTGTGTGTGTGTGTGTGTGCGCGCGCGCGCGCGTGCACGTGCAGGCGTCCGGGGCCGAGGGGGAACAATGCTCCGGGGTGCTGGGTTAGAGGGGCTCCTGCGCCGCCCCGCGCGGGATCCGTGCCCGTCGCGGTCCTCTGGGCAAGGTGCAGCTTTCTCCCTCCTCCGAGCGGCGGGATCGAGTTGGGGTTTTATTATTATTATTATTACTATTATTTTTACCCCGCCGGAGGCGGTTCCCGGTGGAGCGTGACGGGGCCGGAGCCGGTGGCCCGGCGCGACCGGTCGTAGGTCTGGGGTCCGTGCGGTCACTCAGCGGCCGCGGTGGCTGCGGATCGGTGGCTTGTCCCCGCCACCAGCCACTCTTTATTTTATTTTTGTGAATAAGACACTCTCCTTTATTGTCACATGATATCCCTCCTCCCCTGCACATTCATAAATCCGGAGCCTGCCTGGGCTCCTGTTCATTCAGTGCTGCCATTAGCTAAGGTAGCGGTGGCGCCGGCTCGGGCGCGGGGACGCGTCCGGGAGGATCGTCCCCTCGCTGCGGAGCAGGGGGGCTGCGTGGAGCTAGTGCTGGAGGCCCTAGGCCTTTTGTAGGTGGGGGGTCCCCCCCCCTGTGTTTGGCGCTTTGGGATTCTAGAGTTCAGGGAGGGGAAGTGACTCAGGGCTGGGCTGCAGGGAGGCTGGCAGCTCTTGCAGCAGGTGACTACCGTGTTCTACTGGACGAAATCTCACTTGTTTTTGAAATGTCCTTTTACCCTTTAGCATTTGGGGCTGGGCTGGGTGGGAGAAGGGGGTGGTGCTGCTGCTGATGTTTTGCTAAGGGAATTTCCTTTCTTTGGGCCCGCAGGGATGCTCCCCCAACTCCCCAACACCTGTGCACTGTAGCGGATGGTCTTTCTACTTTAGTCGTTTTGCTTTGCCTTCCTACTCCTATGGTGAAATAGGAAAGGGGGAAAAAGTTATATTATGGCTGGTGGAATATGAAGAGGAAAGGCGGTTCTGTCAGGCCTTGCCTCTTGTTGAATTTGGGTTGTTCTTTGTACGTGCACTTGAGTAGTGAGGGATCCTCTCCTTGTTGTCAGTGGCCTTGAGAGTCCTTGGAAAGGTTTAATTACATTAGGTTGCTTGACTTATGGCTTGGTAGTGCAGGCCTGGCCTCCTCTTTTTGTTGTTGTTGTTGGTTGTGGGGTTTGAACTGTGGGCTTGGGCGCTATTCCTCAGCTCTTCAGCTTAAGGCTAGCTTCTCTACCACTTGAGCCACAGCACCACTTCCGATTTTCTGGTGGTTCATTGGAGATTAGACTCTCAGGGACTTTTCTGCCTGGGCTGACTTTGAACTGCCATCCTCAGATCTCAGTCTTCCCAGTAGCTAGAATTACAGGTGGGAGCCACCAGCACCCTCACCTTTTTTACAGCATCACATTGGTCTTGCATCCTACATCATTTGCTATCAAAGCTAAAGGACTTCAGAGATGGCTAGCAGTAAACAAATATCGCCATTTCCAGGCTTTCAGAGCAAGTTCAGCCTCCACTGTTGTGAGAAACCCTGTGGAGACAATAGATATTGGAGGATAGGTTCTAGTTTCTGTTAGAAAATCTCAAACCTTGGGCCTTAGCCACTGCAGAAATGGCCTTCTGGGGTTACTTGTAATGAGATGATTTTGGCCTGGAACAGGAAATGCCTTGGAAGGGAACAGCAACATGGATAGTGAACTGCCATTGTAGTCACTGTCCATTGTATTTTGAGTCTTATGTAATTACCCTCCTGAAAATTTTATTTTAAACGTTAGTGCCAGTAAAGTTTCTCTTTCTGACTTACAGAACGTGTCATGATTGCTTTCTTTCTTTTTGACCACACTATCTGGGAGCTGAGAGTTTAAATTATTGCTTCAGTAGGGTAACCATATTAACATTTTGCTAGATTGATTACTCCTTTTATTTTTTATTTATTTATGATTGTAAAGGTGATGTACAGAGGGGTTACAATTAAACAAATCAGATAATAAGTTACATTTCTTTTTGAATGGTGTCACCTCTTTGATTACTCCTTTTAGATATGAAATTTAGTCTGTTGTTTATCTTCTAATGTTTTTTATTCTTCTTATTATATTTTTTAATGGTCCTGGGCCTGAACTCTGGGCCTGAGCGCTATCCCTCAGCTCTTCAGATCAAGACTAGCCCTCTACCACTTGAGCCACAGCGACACTTTCAGCTTTTTCTGCTTATGTGGTGCTGAGGAATTGAACCCAGGGCCTCATGCGTACAAGGCAAGCACTCTACCACTGAGCCACCTTTCCAGACCCTCTGCTAATGTTTTATATTTGAGATCTCATACTTTCTGGAAGCAAGCAGGATGTGTAACTTGCAAACAGAATTGGTGACATCAGACTGGAGACAGAAAGATAGAAAAAAGAAGTTTGTCTGTTTGCTTTTGTGATGCTAGATTATGGGATCTAGAGTCCTGAGCTATTTCCTCAGCCCTTAAAATAGATTTCCTTGGTAGTCCACAACATAATTAAAAAAAAATTTTTTTTTCTGGTCATGGGGCTTGAACGCTGTACCTAGGCACTGCCCCTGAGCTCTTCAGCTGAAGGCAAGCACTCTATCACTTGAGCCACAGCACCATTCCAGTTTTCTGGTGGTTTATTGGAGATAAGAGTCTCAGCCTTTCCTGCCTGAGCTGGCTTTGAACTGCAATCCTCAGATCTCAGTCTCCTGAATAGCTAGGATTACAGGCGAGAGCCATTGGCACCTGGCTATAATTAAAAATTTTATAAAATAGGTTTAAAAAAGATACTTATTTAATACCAGTGTAATAAACCAGAATCCTGAAACTGGTAAACTAGTGCTTAATTAAAACTAAGAATATTTTGTCTTGTAATGTTCTTTCTTTGTGTCAGTTTAATACTCCTTTTATGTAGATGGTAATTCAGAAAGCCAGCCTGCTTTTGTTGATGGTCCCAAGAGATAGTTTCTGAATAGAAAATGCACTGGCTATTTTCCTTTGATCTCACTCCAGACAGAAATGCATCTTCAGATTTACATTTCTGCTGATTTTCTTTAAAAATTTAAAAAGTTGGCCTGAGGATGTATATCAGTTCAGCAGTAGAGTACTTGCCTAGCATGCACCAGGCCTTGGGTTCCTACTTGTGTGTGACACCTACACAAAAAGCACCAACAAAGTATTGAAAGTAGTCTTTTTTGGTTAGTCATGGACTTGAACTCAGAACCTGAGCACTGTCCCTGAGCTGTTTTGCTCAAGGTTAGTCTACTACTTTGAACCACAGCCCCACTTCTGGTTTTCTGGTGGTTAATTGGAGAAGAGTTTCATGGACTTTCATGGACTTTTCCTGGGACTGGCTTTGTTTTGAACCCCAACCCTCAGATTTCAGTCTCCTGAGTAGGTAGGATTACGGGCATGAGCCACCAGTGCCCAGCTGAAAGTAGTCTTTATATATAGGAATGGGAATGTTTTTTGAAGTCAAACAGATTTTGTCTGTATTTTATCTTTTTTTTTTTGTCGGCTGTGGGCCTTGAACTCTGGGCCTGGGAGCTGTCCCTCAGCTCTTCAGCTCAAGGCTAGCACTCTACCACTTGAGCCACAGCACCACTTCCAGCTTTTTCTGCTTATGTGGTGTTGAGGAATAGAACCCAGGGCCTCATTCATGTAAGTCAAGCACTCCACCACTGAGCCACCTTCCCAGCTCCTAAAAATAACCCACTTCTTGCCAGCTTTACCCTCGTCATATTTTGTCATACTGCTAGAAGGTTCTCTATTGAAGAAAGAAAGAAAGAAAGAAAGAAAGAAAAAGTTAAATGTTTTTGCAGAGCCACTTCAAAGACTTGACCGGCATTGAGACTTTATACTGAGAAGCTTGTGCTTATTTCTCAAAAGATGAGAGAACTCTGTGAAAACACTGTACCATTTTCATACTTTACAAAATTAAGACTAATTCCCTGATGTCTTCTTACCACTCAACCTGAACATGTCTGAAAAAAAAGTCCTTTATAACTAGTCAGCCAGAGAGCAAAGGCCCTGAGTTAAAGGAATTAATAATCCATAAGCAAGGTTTACTCAAGATC